CCCCCCCACCCCACCACACACACACACACAGTGACAAAACAATCCAGATCCGGGCAACACCCCCCCCCCATCCTCCCTGCTGTGCCCTGCCTCCAGGTGCCCCACTCCTCCACTCAGGGGCTCCAGCCCCACACCGCCCCCATTAACCCTTTGGATGCTGCCCCCTCTCACCAGCTTGGGGCTGGTTCTCCAGCAGAGCCTCAGGCTGCTCCGCCCACAGCTTGTACGTGGGGTTGCTCGGGAAGCGCTTGGTCTGGCTGCAGCAGACACACCGTACGACTGACCAGCGCCGTCCGCGGCGCCCTGGGGGGAGGGGGAGGGGCAGGGAGTCAGGGACCGGGCACAGACAGGCATGCACAGGGAGAGGCTTTGTCACCTAACCCCACTGCTCTACCAGGGTCCTGACTCCCAGCCCCCCTGCTCTAACCACTAGACCCCACTCCCCTCCCAGAGCTGGGGAAAGAACCCAGGAATCTGGGCTCCCAGAGCAGTACTGATCCCTCCCCACTAGGGGGCGGCACTCACTTCTCTGGCGCACCGTGGAGCTGACACCAGGGACCAGGAGGGAGGAGCAGGATTTGCAGATGGTTCTCTTCACCGAGGGGTCCCTGGCAGGGGGAAACACAGACAGGGGCTGGGCCTGGGGAGATGGGCCTCTAGAGGCGAGAGGCCCCATGGCCCAGTCCCCGCCCCCTGGGCCCAGATGGGAGCCAGCACTCCCTAGAGGGGAAAGGCCCCATGTCCCGACACTCACTGTCTTAGCACGAGCCTGCGGCTGATGGTGCGCTGCGCGTGGCAGTAGAATCGCGCCAGCTCCTGGTTCTCGGGGTTGTGGGCGAGGACACAGTGAGCCGCCTGCGGGGTGGGCAGGGGGAAAAGAGATGCAGAGTGAGGGGAACAGCCCCACATCTCCCCCTGCTCCATGTCACCCCCAATCCCTCCCTGAGCCCCACATGGCTCTCCCCTCCCCATTGATCTCCCCGCAGCCCCATGTCACCCCACCATTACCCCCTCGCCCATGTTATCCTACTGATCCCACCTCCCCATGTCGCTACCCCCAGCCCCACTGATCCCCCCCCAGTCTCACTGATCCCCCAACCCCATCTCCCCCAACCAGTCCTCCCTCCCACCGATTCCCCCTCCCCCAGCCCCATCTCCATCCAACCTCCCTCCCCCAGTCCCATATCACTCCCCACCTCCACGTGACCCCCTTGCCCTACCGATCCCCCTTCCCTTCCAGTTGCCCCAATCCCATCTTCCTCCAATCCTCCCGCCCCACCCCACACACAGACACACCAACCCTCTTTGCCCCACGATCTATTCAGGAATCCTGGGGGGAGCCCCAGAAATCCCCCCTCCCCAGGCCCCACAGAGACCCCCAGCCCTGGGACTAGGGGGAATTGCTCCCAGGGTCTCTCTTAGGCAGGGGTTCTCAAACTTTTGTACTGGTGACCCCTTTCACATAACAAGCCTCTGAGTGTGAGCCCCCTTATAAGTTAAAAACACTTTTAAATATATTTAACACCATTAGAAATGCTGGATGCAAAGCGGGTTTGGGGTGGAGGCTGATAGCTCGTGACCCCCTATGTAATAACCTCACGACCCCCTGAGGGGCAACCCCCAATTTGAGTACGCCTGCACTTGGGGATGTGTAA